AGGCCGTGGGCCACCAGCTGAGCCCCAGCGGGCAGTACCACACGGTGCACAAGGACTCGGGGCTCTACAAGGAGCTGCTGCACAAGCTGCACCTGGCCAAGGTGGGGGACTGCATGGGGGACTCGGGGGACAAGCCCCTGCGGCGCAACAACAGCTACACCTCCTACACCATGGCCATCTGCGGCATGCCGCTGGACTCGCTCCGAGCCAAGGAGGGGGAGGAGGCAGAGAAGCTGACCTGGCCCGTGGCGGACCCCAAGAAGAGGGTCCGCATGGACAGCTACACCAGCTACTGCAACGCGGTGGCGGACGCCCACCCGGCCGCTGATGTGGACTTGAACACGGCGCAGGTGGAGATGGGCGTGAGCGACCGCAAGGGCAGCGGCGGCTCCCTGGAAGAGTGGCATGACCAGGACAAGCCCGAGGTGTCGCTCCTCTTCCAATTCCTGCAGATCCTCACGGCCTGCTTTGGCTCCTTTGCTCATGGTGGCAATGACGTCAGGTGGGTTGGGTCAGCTGGAGCGGTGGGGTCCCTCCTTGCCCAGAGCCTCCAGCTCTCTAGACCAGCTCCCCTTTCCCTTCCAGCAATGCCATCGGGCCCCTGGTTGCGCTCTACCTGGTCTATCAGACCGGCGATGTGGCTACCAAGGCGGCGACTCCCATCTGGCTGCTGCTCTATGGAGGAGCAGGGATTTGCATCGGCTTGTGGGTCTGGGGAAGGAGAGTCATCCAGACCATGGGGAAGGACCTGACTCCCATCACACCCTCGAGGTGAGGCCTGCCTTGGGGCAGGGGGGGCTGAGGGCCCGGCGAGCCAGGTGAGGAGCTGAGCTGCAGCGCAGGCTCTGCCTGGGAAGAGAGTTCCAGGTCTGCTTTGGGCGAAGCTGGGGGCTCTGGCGGGTCCCGTGTCGGGGGTCTCATGTGCTTTGTCTCTGCAGCGGGTTCAGCATCGAGCTGGCATCGGCCCTGACGGTGGTGATCGCCTCCAACGTCGGCCTCCCCATCAGCACAACCCACTGCAAGGTGAGGGGAGTGGCGGGAGGGGGTGG